CTCCTCCTGCTGCTGCTACTACCACTACTACTACTACTACTACTACTACTACTACTACTACTACTACTGCTACTGCTACTACTACTACTACTACTACTACTACTACTACTACCCCTGCTGCTGTTACTGCTGCGTTCCACAATCACGCAGGGGCAGAGGAAGGTGTGTCACTGGGGCAGTACATGCGCAGAAAGTGGACAAGTGTGCCCTTCAAAAACACCGAGCTGCGACGGCAGCTTTGTCATCCGCTAACTCTGCCATCCGGATATCATCCGCCGTCACATATGTACCAGCCTCAGACGTGTCCGATTGAGAGCAACATGTGCAACGACTCTGCCCGGACTCTGGGGACTTTAACTCTAAGCGCTACGAGGGCATTATGCCAAAAGCCGTCGACAGCGCCGTCTGCCACCGAGGTGCTGTCCATTGCCCTGCAAGGAACTCAAGCAACAAAGTCCTTCGTACTTGGGGCCTGCAAACACCTGACCAGCCTCTGCATCCGACCAGGACTCCAAGCAGTACGAACAGCTTGGCCTCCGCCCAAGAGGGTTTCGTGCTGTTGTACTGGCAAGAACTAAGAACCATGAGCAAACATCATCTGCATTGAACCACTCTGACCAGAAGACACTGTTCACTCCAAGAGTCTGTGTTGAATGACATGGTCTCCGTTCCGCGGGTGCCTCGGTCGTGGCTCGGCACAAAGCAAGCTTAATGTGTTCAGGTGCTGCTTTCTGCACAATCCGCCCTCACTGGCACATTGCATGCAGACAAGGTTCTACAGGTGACACTACTGTTTCGCAGCGTCTGTTTGAGCAATGGCCGCAGCAGGCAGGTACGACGAACCAGGAAGTTCTGCAGTTCTGCTTGCATAACGAAGCAAGAAAGCATGATGATTCACTTGAAATCACCTTACTGAACATTTCTATGTCTGTGGCGGTCTCTCTAGGCACTGCCCGTCAATTATTTTCGACCTGTTCCGTCCGCTTTGTCACAGCCCTGTGTCACGATTCTCAGCTGTGCTACGTGACGAAAACTGCAAGCAGCTCAGCATTTAGGAGGTCAATCTCCGGAAGTTCAGAAGCTGGGAGTGTACAGAGATGCTCATGGCGGAACTCGGAACTGATCTATTGATCTATACTACAGCGATGCGTGGTGGATAAAAACCTTGCGTCTACACATTGAGCGATTGCAGCTTCCCATCTGCATCCTCGAATGGATCTTGAGCGACTGCCTTCCTCACGGCATATGCAGCAAGTTATCAAACAAGCGTCTATGGAGGCAACTCTGAATCCTGAGAACAGCAGTGTGAGGCCCGTCTTAGGTTTGGCAGTGCCGAAGCGCATGCAGAGTTCTACTCTGGCGCCTTGTTGGCTTCTTCAGTCGTCCTGCTTGGATGGGAGGGTCGAGAGGGCAAGATTCATCCCCCGGGCTTGCCTGGTCCTCATGAGCTGCTCTTGATACCTTTCTTAACTGAGCTCCTAGATTAAGCTGGCATTTCAGCTGCCTGGCAGGATCAATTCCACCCTCGATGACTTCTGATTGTTGCGCTGGAACCTCGGGGCCTGACATACTGGACTAACAGCTTTCCCATAAGCCAAGGTACAAGCTGCACCTACTAAGCATGGACCGGCAGGCACGCTGAGCCGAGCCGTGTCCTCCTGCTCTGCGTCGATGGTTCGCTTGGCCTCATCGCTCGGTCGCAAAGCCGGCTCCATACTTGCTTTTCTAGACCGGTCTATGATTAAACACTGCATACGGAAATATTGACGACTCCTTGAAGCCCACGTGTCCAGGGCTAGTAGAGCTTTATGTATTCCTCTACCATCTAAAGAAAGGAGCACATACATGTGCAAACAGATGATACGATAACTCCCCCAATTCTATGTACTTCTCTAAGGGGCTGTCTAGCCTCGTATCTAAAACAAGATAGGTAAATTAGATACATATATATATATATATATGCATATATATATATATATGTATATACATAGATAGATACATAGACAGACAGATAGAAAGATAGGTAGATAAGCAGATAGATAGGTAAATAGCCAGACAAATAGCTAGACAGATAGACAGATAGATAGACAGACAGCCAGACAGATAGATAGACAAATAAACAGATAGACAGATAGACAGACGGACAGATAGACAGACCGATAGATAATAAATGGATGGAGAGATAGATGGATAGATGGATAGAAGGATAGATAGATGGATGAACGGATAGATGGATAGATAGATGCATGAACGGATAGATGGATAGGTTAAACGGTTAAACCCGAAACCATAGACGGATACATGATGGATAGAGAGATGGGTAAATGGACAAAGGAGAGACGGAAGTATAGATACGCAGAGAGAGAAGTAGACAGGTAGACGAGTAGGTAGATAGGTGGATAAGCAGATAGGAAAGTAGGTAGTAGGTAGATAAGTAGGTAAGTAGATAAGTAGTTGGGCACATAGATAGACAGACGGATTGACGAACAGATAGATAGGCAGAAACGGGCGAAGTTGACAGACGGATAGGCACAGCTACAAAGCATCCCAGTCATGCCGCTGCTCATTCGCAGGGCTCAAAGTGCTCTCCTTCCACTATGAGCCGTGGCGTTGTTTCCTCGACTGTGGCATCGTGTGAGCCTGGTTCTGAAATTTGTGCATGTGGTGTGAGCCTGCGGCTCTTGCGGTCAGACCTTGCGGTGTGGGACCGTGATACTTGTGGCTGCAGGTGAGCAGGTCTCGTGTCGAAACGCTCCCAGGACTGGCAGGGGGATTTAGGGAAACAGATGTGCCGGGAGAACACTGACAGCAACGATTGGCGAGGCTGTTGATGAAGGGTTTACACGCCTCAAAAAAGGCAGATGGAGGTGTCTGTAGGGACCTACACTGCCTACCGGGAAAACTCCGGCGCCTCGGCCTCGGCCGCCTTCCGCTGCTCTGCTGGCACCGCAGAGAACTGGCGAAGCGACGGGTCTAAAACTTCTGCTGCATGCGGGGCTCTTCGGAGTTTCCGCCCTGCTACTCTCAGCCACTTCAAGGCATGTCGCTTGCCTCTGCCATAACTACCGTTATCTTCTTCACTAGGACCCCTGACCCTGAGTCTGGCTGAAACGACGACGGCAAGCAGAGCGTCACAGATTCACAGATCAGCAGGCAGAGCGCGGGTTCCAGGACAATGGGAAAGACCTAATTACAAGCCGTCGAAAACGAAGCAAACTCGAACGGAAACGCTCAGATCGCGTCACTCTGCATTGTGCCATCGTTCCACAGCATCACGAAAGATGCTCTCAATGTCCAGCTGCTCTGTGCTCTAGTTCTGCATCACTTTCGGCTTCTTCTGCTTGAACCGAGAAGCATGCCTATAATTCTCGACTCGAGAAGCGGCACTTGTCGCATCCTCTGAAAGGCCTTCCGTCTCGGTGTCGCGGCCGAGGTTTAAACACTATCTCCCCGGCTCAGTTTTGCGAGATATGTACCATCTCGAGCCAGCTTTCCCGATACTTCGACTGAAGCTTCATGATCACGTTGATTGATGCTGACCAGCGTGGATCATGGGCAACCGAACAAAGACAGTCGTTCGTTTGCATTCATTATTTAAGAAAGTGGACACATTCTGACCAAGCGACTAGGAAAACCTTGTGCAGAAAGCAGGCTTGTGCATGAACACAACACGGAGGGAATGGCAGTGCCCCTTGCCTGGTAATTCGATGCCGGACAGATCCACGAGATCTCCAGCTCGAAATCCTTGTCCTTTTCATCGTGCACCTGCGAACAGCGAGCAAATTGTCAGAGTCGTCACAGTCTTGTGTGACTTGAACACAGCCACGGACTTGCCTTTACAAGTACGCACATGTGCTGATTGTCTCAGCAACAATCAACCGCCTGCTCCCCTCAGCTTCGGAGGCAACCCAGTCAGGATCGAGAGTGGCCCCTAGTCAGTATGGCAGCAGAGAGCCTTGTGAATGATCTTTGCAACCTAGGTCAAGCCGCTGCGATTCTCTGCAATGCCGCTTCAGCTAAGTTAGCCTCAATTTACTCAGGTGCAATCAATGCATTGGGTGTCATGCAGATCGAAGAGGCACTGTTCCGGAAACACTTGCAGAGCTACCACAAGTCCATGCTAAAGCGACGGCCATACAAACCTCAGCCCATGACGTGGACGAGGGCTTGTTCACAGGTGAGCTCTGGATTGTTCCTGCCATTGGCATGGAATAGGCTTGAGGCCTTCTGCAACTGCAAAAGAAACAAAAGAGCTGTGGGAAAAGGGCAGCTGCTCACTGAAATGAGCACCTCGGGTACGCTCCATGCGCTGAGCTTCGTGCGCCAAAACCTTCTCGATCTCTGTCTTGGCCGCCTGCTTGCCTGGCGTGCTTGAAAGTGCCGGTGCAACCGACAGAATATTGATCCGCCTTCAGACTGTAACAGAAGTAATACGTCCAGGTCCTATGGTTGAGGTTGGGCTCAGCTCTTAACTCATGGCACGCAGCACCCTTGCCCTCTGCCGTGGCTGTGTACCTGGACAAACTTGTCCTTGTGAACTGAGCAACACAGACGGAAGGACACAAGCAGATCGAAAGCCGACGGAAGCCCCTCTGCGGCTCACTTGTAGACCATGCCGTTGGGCTCAATGCAGAATAAGTCGGGCTTTTTGGTCTCCTGTCAGCTCAAGCCAAGCTCGTAAAGTGCATGCCACGCAGAAGCGGACAACCCGGGAAAGTCAGCAACACGTCCTCATCCACGCAGCCGAGCAGAACCGCACAGCCGAACGGACGCACGGACCAGTACCTGAGCAGCGTCGGCACATGCCTGTGGCCCTTGGGTGGCCGAAAGCTGAGCTGCAGGCAGGGTGTAGGCGTGCATGAAAAGGCCCAAGCCTGGAGGCTCGAGTTTGGTGACTCTTTTCCTTCCTTCAACTTTTCTCCCCACAACTGGCAGTGAAACTAGTAGATTAGACCGATTCCTTTCCGAGGACCGCTCGTTCAGCCAAAAGCTCTGGTGGAACTTCCTCACAGTACCTTGCACTACTGGGACATCGAAGTGTACTGCACGCTGTTTCCAGATCTCGCGTGACAAGACCGATGAAGCAGCGCGGGATGAAGGGATTAAGGGACCGCAGCAGCCAAGGAGAAGATTTCCACACTGAGCTCGCTGCGCGTTCTGATATTGCCTGAGCACGGTAAAGCAGGAGCGCAGAAAACCGCTGACGGTCCAACCAAACACTTGCTTCTTTGAGAAGGCGGCGTCGCTTCCGATCGTGCCCGACCTAAATTGGAGAGATATGGATAGATGTACAGGCCTACAGCCCCCTGCAGGCAGACACAGCTAGAAGAGCCAGGGCTCTGACTGACGATCTGCCTGGCGTCGGCTACCATGCCAGCAATGGACATCCCTGCACGTCGATGAACCTAAGTCTCCGCGCTCTAGAGGAGGGCACATCAGGAATGAAAATGTGAGCCCGGGACTGGGAATATTCGCTTGGCGGTGCCCGGCACCAACATTTTTGAGAGCCTAGAGCGCCATTTTCAGCGTGTGGCAGGTGCTGTGAATAACCGGTTGCCACAAGCCGAAGCTGAACCAGGTCGTACTTATTGCACAACTGAGCCCCCTGACAAGAACTTCTCTGCTGCGAACACCACACCGTCCTGCGACTTGGCGGACACATGGCACAAGCATTTAGCATCGTCACGTGAGGACACGTCAAGCAAGTATCCCGGAGGCTGCGAAACCACTTCCACTAGCTACTGTCCTTGCAGCAAATCGCAAGCGTTGTCCCGCTGTTCTCCACAGCCTTCCCGGCATACTCCACCTGAGGTCGCCATCAGTCTCAACACAACAGCAACTGCCAGAGGCAGCAGAGCCGAAACAGCCTGGAAGACTCGGCCGTCGGGGGAAAAGGTGGTAACAGAGAGGTCGTAGCCGGCTCCGGTCCCGGCCTGGGTTGGCTGAAAAACTCGGCGCCTGTCGGGGGACACTTCCAGACATGCAAGTGAGCTCACTTGAGGCTGCAGCCATCTTCTAGATGCCCCGCTCCCACAAGGAAGGATGTTGTGATGATGGACAGTTCTTGAGCCAAAGCAAAGGACAGTGACAGTGAGATGCAAAGTCGTTGGACAAGCCTTGCAGAGCAGGGGCACTGACGGGACAGGCCCTGGGCATGGAAGCATTTTCACGAGGCGAGTTTGGTTCGGCTGGTCCGTGGTTGAGTCGATGGTCTAGGTCTCCTTGGCAGCCGCATCCTTGGCCTTCTTCATGCGCTCGCCCAGGTAGTGCTTGTTGGTGCGTGCCTTCTTGAGCTGCTTGTAAGCCGACGCCTCCTTCTCCTCGGCAGTGATGGCACGGGCACGGGTGCGCTTCTCCGGCTTGGGCACAGGGATGATCTCCTTGAGCGTGTTCTGGGCCACATTCTGAAGCTCCGAGCGGGGCGTGTCGCCCTTTCGCACCTTCTTGGCACCTGCCTTCTTTGGGAAGAGGAGGAGCTTGGACATGTAAAGCTTCAGGCGCTCTACGTTGGCCTGGAGGCTCTCCGTGCAGCGATTTCTGCGGCGGTGGTCAATGGCAATGCCAATGGTCTTTGCGTACTTCTTTGGGATCTTCGCCTCTTTGAGCTCGTCAAGGGTGAAGCCCTTGCCAAGGCGAAGCTTCATGTTGTAACGCTGTGTTGGAGGGTGCACAACCGGCCGCAGCAAGCCGGCAGCCGGCCGCGGGAACACCTTGGCTGCCTTGGCCTTGCGCGCGTTGGATCGACGCTTCTTGCGACCGGCCTGGTCCAACCAGGTGCGCATGAACACACGGTTCTTGCGTCCGGATTGGCATCCGTTGATCTTGCGAAAATGCACATTGGGGATGATGTTGTTTCCTCCGTGACCCATGGTTGCAACCCGCCCAGACCTCTAATCAGCGTACCTCGCCTGAATCCTGAAAGCAGCAATTGGAGCACACGAGCAGGTGGTGACAAGCACATCTACCAGCTGTCTTGCCGCAGGCATGAGTTCACGATTTAGAATGGACCACAGCTTCGAAAACATGTTGTGACTCAAGTATGCTCAACGTTGCTCAACACTCAGCTTATTTTATGTGTTCTGCCAGATGTCCAGCCGTGATGGAAGCACAGCGCCAAGTACGCTTGCGCCTCGCACGGGTGACAACACAAGTCACAGGTGATGCAAACACATCAAGGAGTTGTGAAAGTACTTCAGGGACAAGTCCGGCCAATCGTGGCAAATCCATCCGACTTGGTGAGAGTCTTGTCACTGTTCAGCTGGTCGTGCCTTCACTCTGCAGCGAGCGCGACCAACCTTGGCAAGCGCAGGAGATAGTCAAGGAAATACCCACCATAGTCAGTTGGCTCTACGACATCAACTGAAGTACCGTATGCATGATCCCGGTTACCCTCCACCCTCGGAGCCAAACTCAACCCAATCACCTGCGCCCAACTGAACCCCAAACCTTAAAAATCTGAACCCCCCCCCCCACAAACCCACCAGTCCGTGCATGTGGGAGTGGAGGAAGGGGCGGAACCTACAAGCCAAAACCTCAAACTCCGAATCCGAAACTCCAAACCCTTTACATGAATCTCTAAACCTTAAACGTTCAATCCTAAACCCGAAAACCTAAACTTCAATCCCCCACCTCCACATCCACAAAGACGAGGTCACTGCAGAAATCCTTGTATGTGTGCGTTTTTATATCGTCCTGCCAGCCTTGGGGATGAGGGTACTCTCTTAAACCTAATGCAGCCCAGCTCAGGCATTCCCGGATGACGTCACAACCCAGCCCCGTCTCATTGCGTAATTTCGTCGAGCAATTTCATCAGGCAAGGCATTCCGTGTCTTGAACCTGAATCTCAGCAATCAGTCTTGTTGACGACGCCAAAGGAGGTGACACGGCTTTTGAAACTAAAGCGGCTGAAAGTTTTTCAAGAGAAAACCCGAAGTACAAGCACTCTAGTTGTGGTGTCATGAAATATCCAGGCTTCGCACGACACAGCTTCGGCAGAAACTACGCGATGGAGCTGAAACGTGTGTGATTCTTTTCTGCTCCTCTCAGGTCCCCACCGCCACAACCAGGCGCTGCAGAGCAACTTTGACGGCGATTTCCTGGCAATCCTGCCGGGCGATGTGCAATCTAAGAAGCAAGAAGCAAGCAAACAAGCGAGCAAGCATGCAAACAAGCAAGAAAACGGGGCAGTCAGATCTACAGCCGGCTAAGTTGGTGGTTGAGGATACATTCCTGGGGCCACTCATGAGGCCACCAACAAGACAGCCCGATCCTAGCCATCATCCTCTTCCATTGATCCTCTCCCAATGCCTCCTGGTCATCACCATCATGATCTCATTATTTTTCGCTAGCTCTATAAGCTCTGGGTAACGAGCCCATCAGCACCGACGTTTCCTAATTTTGCCAGTAGTGGCTTAAGCCCTTTCGCTCTGGCGAGGCGGTTGATGCACCAGACGGACCCACAACGCGTGGTTCTGGCTGTAAGGATCGGCTTTTCTATACATTGATGTGTTGTCCATCGGGTCCTTAGGAGCTATGGACATATCATAGAAGGAGTGGCGAGGCTCCTCGTAAGTAGGAGCCTGATCCGACAGCAGGTGCTCAATCCTGTTAGCCGCCAAGGTGAGACACGACCCGGCCCAGTGGAGTCGGTAGGCATGAGATGGCTAGGACATGAAGGGAAGGTGCTATTACGTTCCAGTGGTTTTGGCTGTCTATGAATATGACCAAATCTTTAGGTTGTAGTCTCTCCTGGGAGTACATCTTCCACAGGGTGATGACCCCTTCATGGCAGTAGGACAGTGAAGCCAGGTAGAAATTGGAGCACTGTTCATCTGCGGGTTGCAGTACTGCGTGAAAACAAGAGGACTTGATTGCAAAAAAGACTCCTCAGGGATTTGTAGTGTGTGGCGTCTTGTTTATGGATTTGTGGGGAGGTACACAGGACGCCGTCCATAGCAGACAAGAGGATGCACTGGACAATAGATCGATACACCGTGTGTTTCCAAGGAAAAAGGGATGCCTTCAGTAGGGCCCGTCCACACTTACGGTGAATACAAACACACGCACAAAAACAAGCACCAGAGAAATGTTGAAATAATGGACTTGCCATGGGCAAAGGACACGAGCATGGACGGTTTCCGCACATTGTTCGAGACCACGTCGGGTTGGGGAACGAGCACGGTTTTCCTGTGCGCGGTCCTGCACAAGTGCCAGGTTCGTGTCCAGCACGTTGTCCAGCGCGTCCTCAGGTGACACGCAGGCGGAACGGTCGTTGTTGGAAAGATTAGTCCACAGCGGCATGTCGGCGCCTGGTGCCTTCGGAGGGCCTCTGCGGCAGCAGCACGTCGCCAAGCCTTGAGGCCACGTGCCGCGAGAGATGTGCCAGCTGCTTCGGCAAATGCCAGCTGCTTCGTCCAAGCCCTCGGCATCCCAGGCAGCGGCTTGCACCGGCACCTGAATTGCTGGCTCTCACAAGATTCAGCAAAGGAGCATCTCAGGACGAACGCCACGCCTGGCAAGACAGAACCTTGGAGTCCTTCACTTCGGGACCTGACACCGCACTCGGGGAGCGTCCATTCCGTGCCGGCGGGATGCGGGAAGCCTCGTGCCGAGGCAGCTGACTCAACCGCAGCACGCAGCCACGAGTGTAGAAGCACCTGAACGGAGCAAAGCCTTCGTGAACGTGTTTGCACAGCCTTATCTGCCACAGCCTTCAGCATCGCACATGAGGTGCGGCGAACTCTGCAGCGGAGAAGGTTCTCCAAACCTGAATATCAAAACAGAGCAGTCGGCGACGTATACGATCGCTCGAGCCATTCAACCGACAATCTTCAAAGTAAAGTTGACAGGTCACCTTGCAAGGGACGCCAACGCGACATGGAGCGAAAAGCCTGCCCGGACAAGGTAAGCTCCACGAAACACTCGCGATGCAGAGATCAACTGCACGCAAGGTCAAGAGTGCCAGCTAGACCCAGAGCAGCCGCTTTCGTTTCAGCGTCTGCGCCGCGCGTGAGAGATGCAAGGCTGCTAAAGATGCCGCTACCACCCCGGCACCTGGCAGGGCACGTAGGCGCAAGTAGTCTTAACACTTACAGTATGGTCTTCGCTACATTGCCACACATGACACCCTGCAGCCAACGGTTGCATCGGATTCCCTGCCTTTTCTGTCGCTCACCTTGGTCAGGACTCATGCGTCGCAGTCAAAGCTCAAGGAACGGTGCGAGAGATCCCGAGAGACTCGCCCTGCAGGCTCGGTGCAGGAAAAGATTGAGGCGGCTCGACCTGAAGGAGTGCATTGATTGGGGATAGGATGGCCATGGTGAGTGTTACCATCATTTGGACGAAACATTGCTGATCCTGAAGATTCATCCCTTGACTTGAGTCCTGCGTAACCCAAGCATCCAAACGGCAACAACAGAACGATTCTCGTCTCAGACTTTCGGCCTGCAGTGAGGCCTCGCCAACAGCTGACAAAGAGTGGATCCCGAAAAGGGAGTTGCAATTGGACTTGACCAAGGCACCGAGACATGCGCGGACATGCGAAAGGGAGGCAGCTGTTCTCGTCAAAAAGGTAAAATAACTGGGAAGCCAAGGCTTCAACCCAAAGCTTGCAGTAAGCTGTTGTATAGCACATCGCGAATTCGGATATTTCGGTGATATATAACAAAGGACCCAGATAAGTGTTGAATGCCCTTTGCCCCATGCTCGGTCTTGGACCAATGAACTGTAAGTTGCTCATGTAACCAAACTCTTAACAAAGACCAGACGACACGACCACGTCAGAAGCAGATATCACCACCCCAGAGAGGAGGCACAAAAGACATACCAAAATTAGACCCAAAGAAAGTAGACTCTTCCGCCTAACGGGAGAACGTCAAGGTTCCAACTCTGAAAACGAGTCAAGCCGGCAAGGTCAACGTCGTCAGTTGCACATCGCTCGATTTCGAAATTAAGAGGCTCACATAATCTTGTCATGTCTGCGAGAACAGCCACTGAATCGAACCCCCTGAACCTGCAACATTGTCCCGGCTTATGCTGTGCTTGTGGTCGACATCGAGGCATGGGCTAGTGGCCATGCAACAACATTCGTGGGGAACTTGAGATTTACGAGATCAGAGGTTGATGGAGCATCTAGGACGGCTGCAAGCGCTGCTTCATCCATGTCTGTAGCAGCAGCGCTTGAGCTGGGAATCTCCTCAGATGGCTCATGCAAACGACTTCCCCGCAATTCACTTCCTTCTCTAAGTCTGCGACCATTGCCCCAACTCCTGATGCCTTGGAAAGGCTGCACGGAGGTTCTCCAAGATACCAGGCGTGGCCACCTTCCTTTTACTACATAACAGTGATTCTAAGGCTGATGCAGCTTGGAGACAGCGGCCCTCTTGGTACTTTCAGCCTCCTTCTTCCACACCTTGGCAAAGCAAATGCTCACAAGATTACATACGGTGACACGCCACCGCCCCAGCCTCCAGCACCTGCCACAACCTTGCGGTGGGCCTGGGCATTTCATTCGGCTCTGTAACCTCTTGATTGCCGTCCTCGGCAGTCTTGAGTGCAGGGGCACAAAGAATTCCGGCTGCGGCGTCTTCGCAGACTCTTTGGCAGCCTCGCGGATGAAGCTCCAAGATCGTTTGAATCATTTGAACCTGTACTGGGTGTCAACACATGCAGAGCACCACCAGCAGACGAAAGTTTCCCGTCTTCAACATCTGCTTCATTAGCAATGACTTTGTGACACAGATTTGTCATGATTACCTTCGATATAGGTGTTGGCACTGTGCTCACTGTCGCCGCCGCTGTCATGATTCTTGCCACTACCAGTCTTGTTAGTGTCATCATTGCTGCAAGTTAAAGAAACTCTCATTGATCACGTTTGTCAACATACAAACCAGGTAGCGACACCTAGTACGTGACCGGCGTTTGGTGGTAAAGCTGACATGTAAACCCAGGGAAAGCACGCAGTCACGATCAAAAGTACTGCCCGAAACCCTGTGACAGGTCAATCGTGCTCCCGAATACGGCGCTCCCGCTACTTAGTGCGTCGCAGAAACTTTGTCGTTGTTAACAGTTACAAATGACCACTACTGCGAGTACTATGTCCTGCTAGAAAGTCTACTACGGTATTAACTACAATTGCCGTGGACGGCTGCTGCTACTGGTACAGCTACCGTTCCGCTACTGCTGCTGCTACTGCTAGTGCTACTGCTGCTGTTGTTGCTGCTGCTGCTGCTGGTGCCAGTGCTAGTGCTAGTGCTACAGTACAGTAAAAACATTACTACCCTCGCTACTGCTTCGATACTACCAAAAACTAGGACGACGACGACCACGGCTATCAGCGCTTTGTTGCTTCTACTTGCGTGAAGCGTATTTGCACGACTGCTTACATTTGTTCCTCATTGCCACTGATGGGATTGGTGCGATTCCGATCATGACCGCCAGTAGTTGTACCATTGTTGCGGTTTGTAACATTGTTTCCATAGCTACAATGACGACAGAACGAGTATGAAGAAGACTACCAGCAGCACGGCAACTTTTGCATTGCTCCAGGTACTCTTAGCATTGCAACTCTTGCAAGTGATGCTATGCTTGCACGCTGACTGTCACTGCTGTTGCTATCTTCCTTGCTTGCTCTCGCTACTCCAATCTGATCTTACTTCGGTGACTCCGACTACTACTGTTTTTCATGGCTTTGCTGATACCCTGGAGATGACAGGTATTTTCTACCTTTCGATAATATTGTGCTACCAACCCTGATGTGTCTAGTCATTGTCATTCTAGTCGTGCTACTATTATTACCACCACCACGACTATGTGGACGATCCTGGCGACTGAGCTTTGGTAACTTTGCTAGTAACCGCTAGTTACGCTAGTCAGCATCAAACGTTCAACAGAAACTCCGTTCTGACCATGACGAAAAACCAACGGGGAGCCAGGCTTGCACGTACCCTGCGATGTCAAGACCTCGAATACTGAATCTTATCATTTTATCTCAGAAACCTATTTTGCCTCCAGGCGTTGCTGCCACCGCAACGTCTCTTCTTCATCGGCAAAGCGTAGGCGGACGGCCTGATGGAAGAACACGAGGGAATCAGAGGACGCGAGGAGCTGACATGGGATTTGCAACTGGCAACGAGAAGGGACGGACATGCCTCCGATCGACCTCCAACAACTGCTTGAAGCAAAAGACAGGGCTCCTCGTCGTTTGACCCAAGGCTGCATGACGTGAGTTTCCCAGTGCTGTTGTAGTAGATATCCGTTCGAATGCCTGCCTCACCGGAGAACCCGCCGTTGCGGCGTGCCTGCCGATATTCTGATCTCTCGGCACTCACTCCTTTGCACACAAGTCTCCAACCATCACGAATCACAAACCAGTCGACAACACCCACAGCACCCAAAACATCGGCCGCCAGCCTGGTCGCTGCCTGTGACGGACACAACAGACGAGAGGCTGAGCCTTCCGGTTGCGACTCGTCAAGCCGACAACTCAAGTGCTGCTTTCTCAACATGAGTTAAATTTCGAAGGTCCCGGCGCATGGACGACTTGCAATGGCTCCTCAGACTCGAAGAAGAACAGGAAGCCCTGTACCTCAACTTTTGCACACTTGTTTAATGGGGCTGTCATCTGTCACAGGGCAAAGCTCACCAGCACAAGATGCTCCGGTCGCCATCGCGCCACGAGACCACGAGGCCTGCAAACAGTACCACCCGGACTCCATGCTATCGCATCTCTGTGATGCCAAACCGTGGCCCAGACCCAACGCGGACCCAACCTTGTGGTTTGGAAATTCTGACAATTCAATCGGCGTCTTTGTTTGCTTGAGTCTCGCTCGCAGCTTCTATCTAGTGGATAACAAGCGACCAGCCACTGAGCCGATGGCGAGAAACTTCACATTCTTCAAGACGCGAGCGTGTCCAAAGCCACTCCTCGCAACTTCGATGCAGAGCAGGAGTTCACACTGCTGGCACGAAAAGGACATGATGTAAATGCCATTACAATGACGTCTCCTGGCCCGCACACTGGCTTTGCACGGGCAACTTGGTGGCAATCTGGGCTGAAGGACCTGACCCAGATGCACTGTGCTGGATCTTAACAGCAGCGTGTGAGCTTTATTTTCCGAGGCTGCGACTGTGCCACGGCTGCCTGACATCTCCCGTATTCAGCTTTCAGGTTCTATGGCCAAGGAAAACGGTGCACGGGAAGCACTGAAATGAAAACATGCTGCATTAACATTGTGATTCCCGTAAGCTGCGCTGTGAGCCTTGCAGGTCTGAGCAGGTTGGGTTCCGACGCAGCCCCGTTCTCCGGCGAAATTTTCATTGAAATGACAGGCCTACTGCACGGCCGACGCTCTCCCAGCAGCCGCAATGCTGCGGACAGACATTTATATCGAGAACATGCTGCGCGGTTGCAATTCAAGTTGTCGCCCGTTCATGGCAAGTCCTACACCACGCAACTAACACATGTGCTGCAGCGTACAAGCTACTTACATCAAAGCGGAATCAGAAGGCATGTAAGCAACCAAGCTGAAGACAGCATGTAACATCGCACTGCACTCTTTTGTTTCGGCTTGCCGGAAAGTGACTGCTGTTTGGTCTGTGGCTTGCCGGCCTTTGGCCGAGCGGAGCCACTGCAGTCACGAAAAGCCCGTATCGGCTGACAAAAGCGAAAGCAAGCAAAAACGCGAAAAGCCAGAGAGTAGAAGCAAGTACAACATAGTGTAACGGGCTAAGCAGCTGAAAGTTGATTCATCAGAGAGGGCCAAGTGGAAAAGCCCCTTCGCAGCTCCGCAAAAGGTGCGGGTGGGCGGGAAAAGAAAAGCAAGCTATGAAAAGCTGTGTTGTTGCTGTGGTGTCCCGCTTGAGCAGCTGCAAGCGGGCGACGGGAAGGACTTGACCAAAACCCTCCTGAGTAACCACAGTGACCGTTCATGGCAAGTCCTACACCACGCAACTAACACATGGGCTACAGCGTGCTA